TTGCCTGATGGACCACATGGCCTTGACGCAATGCCCCACATGTTCAGTGCCAGAATTACCCTATAGTCTTGTTCAGTTACATTGCAGAAATGTGCATAGATAGATGGATTGGTGGATGTTTTGACATGGAAGTGATCGATGGAAGGGTGAATAAGATTATTTTGATGGTGGGGAAGATGGAGGGTTGAGACGATACATGATGGATGGATGGACGGATGGACGGATAAAACCGATAGGGATATGTATGGATGGACGGATCAAACCGATAGAGATATGTATGGGTGGACGGATAAAACCGATAGATATATGGATGGATGGACGGATGGAACCGATAGAGATATGTATGGCTGGACGGATAAAACCGATAGAGATATGTATGGATGGACGGATAAAACCGATAGAGATATGGATGGCTGGACGGATGAAACCGATAGAGATATGTATGGGTGGACGGATGAAACCGATAGAGATATGGATGGCTGGACGGATAAAACCGATAGAGATATGGATGGATGGACGGATAAAACCGATAGAGATATGTATGGATGGACGGATCAAAACCGATAGAGATATGTGTGGATGGACGGATGAAACCGATAGAGATATGGATGGATGGACGAAAAAAACGATAGAGATATGGATGGATGGACGGATAAAACTGATAGAGATATGGATGGACGGATGGAACCGATAGAGATATGGATGGATGGACGGATGGAACCGATAGATATATGGATGGATGGACGGATAAAACCGATAGAGATATGGATGGATGGACGGATAAAACCGATAGAGATATGTGTGGATGGGCGGATAAAACCGACAGAGATATGGATGGACGGACGGATAAAACCGATAGAGATATGTATGGATGGACGGATAAAACCGATAGGGATATGGATGGATGGACGGATAAAACCGATAGAGATATGTATGGATGGGCGGATAAAACCGATAGATATATGGATGGATGGACGGATAAAACCGATAGAGATATGTATGGGTGGACGGATAAAACCGATAGATATATGGATGGATGGACGGATGGAACCGATAGAGATATGTATGGCTGGACGGATAAAACCGATAGAGATATGTATGGATGGACGGATAAAACCGATAGAGATACGGACGGATGGACGGATAAAACCGATAGAGATGTGTATGGCTGGACGGATGAAACCGGTAGAGATATGGATGGCTGGACGGATAAAACCGATAGAGATATGGATGGATGGACGGATAAAACCGATAGAGATATGTATGGCTGGACGGATGAAACCGATAGAGATATGGATGGATGGACGGATAAAACCGATAGAGATATGGATGGATGGACGGATAAAACCGATAGAGATATGTATGGATGGACGGATCAAAACCGATAGAGATATGTGTGGATGGACGGATGAAACCGATAGAGATATGGATGGATGGACGAAAAAAACGATAGAGATATGGATGGATGGACGGATAAAACTGATAGAGATATGGATGGACGGATGGAACCGATAGAGATATGGATGGATGGACGGATGGAACCGATAGATATATGGATGGATGGACGGATAAAACCGATAGAGATATGGATGGATGGACGGATAAAACCGATAGAGATATGTGTGGATGGGCGGATAAAACCGACAGAGATATGGATGGACGGACGGATAAAACCGATAGAGATATGTATGGATGGACGGATAAAACCGATAGGGATATGGATGGATGGACGGATAAAACCGATAGAGATATGTATGGATGGGCGGATAAAACCGATAGATATATGGATGGATGGACGGATAAAACCGATAGAGATATGTATGGGTGGACGGATAAAACCGATAGATATATGGATGGATGGACGGATGGAACCGATAGAGATATGTATGGCTGGACGGATAAAACCGATAGAGATATGTATGGATGGACGGATAAAACCGATAGAGATACGGACGGATGGACGGATAAAACCGATAGAGATGTGTATGGCTGGACGGATGAAACCGATAGAGATATGGATGGCTGGACGGATAAAACCGATAGAGATATGGATGGATGGACGGATAAAACCGATAGAGATATGTATGGCTGGACGGATGAAACCGATAGAGATATGGATGGATGGACGGATAAAACCGATAGAGATATGGATGGATGGACGGATAAAACCGATAGAGATATGTATGGATGGACGGATCAAAACCGATAGAGATATGTGTGGATGGACGGATGAAACCGATAGAGATATGGATGGATGGACGAAAAAAACGATAGAGATATGGATGGATGGACGGATAAAACTGATAGAGATATGGATGGACGGATGGAACCGATAGAGATATGGATGGATGGACGGATGGAACCGATAGATATATGGATGGATGGACGGATAAAACCGATAGAGATATGGATGGATGGACGGATAAAACCGATAGAGATATGTGTGGATGGGCGGATAAAACCGACAGAGATATGGATGGACGGACGGATAAAACCGATAGAGATATGTATGGATGGACGGATAAAACCGATAGGGATATGGATGGATGGACGGATAAAACCGATAGAGATATGTATGGATGGGCGGATAAAACCGACAGAGATATGGATGGACGGACGGATAAAACCGATAGAGATATGGATGGATGGACGGATAAAACCGATAGAGATATGTATGGATGGACGGACGGATTGGTGGATAAGATTGATAGATAGATCATTTGATCGATTGGTCGACGTGTAGAGAGATGGGTGGGGAATAAAGACAGATTGAAGGTTGGTGAAGAGATGATGAAGTTGGATATTGATGCTTAAGTGATGGGACGGCGGATGAGGAAGAACCAGTGAGAATGGCGGTTCAAGGCCGAAGCGTCGAGAATCGTTCATATATAGTAGGACCGAAATATCAAATGGCGAAATTGTCATGTTGTTATGTTCAGTACCGAACTATCGAAAAGGCCAGATAATGTATTTGATTAACAATAAGTGGTACCAATTAACTTATGGCCTCGTCGGTATTTCTATTTTCCCCACATAAGGTTAAAAAGCTAAAACTGACGACAATTGGACGGAAATAGAAGAGAGCAATACAACAAATAGCGGTCCCGAATTGACTTATGTCTTCGTCGGCATTGCTCTTCTCCCTACTTCTCTCTGCTAGATTATAAAATTCAAAATAGACACAGATTTAAGATCAAGGTGATCAATGTTACTTACAAACAGGGCAGAGGAGACCTAAACACGTGTTGAGGTAGATTTGGAGAAAGCTACACACAAAACCATGGGAACCGCGCTCCCACACGCTCAAGTTGTTGTCCATAAATTGTGTCTACTTTGTCATCCGTCAACTTCTAAGTAATGCCTATCAAACAATTTACCTCGACTCCTGGTAAATTTAGACTGATAACTTTTCCCGCAAAGTGCATTTGCATATGAACTCTTATAAAATGCATTATGATGGTAAACTATATAATAATTATATAAATAAAGCGACAAAACCCTTTCCATATCCAATAGAAGTCTCTGCAGAAAGCAGAGTCGATTGTACAATTCCGACTATATCATGAGCAAATACAATATGAAACAGTTGTTACAATAATTCTATTAAACAGTGGCAATATATGTATATGTCTTGTGTTCTGTACACAACACTGAACTGTCGAAAGTACTCGGTGCAATATGATCTTTAATCGACACCGAGCAGTCGAAAGTACTCGGTGAAATGATCTTCAACCGACACCGAACAGTCGAAAGTACTCGGTGCAATGATCTTCAACCAACACCGAACTGTCGAAAGTACTCGGTGCAATGATCTTCAACCGACACCGAACAGTCGAAAGTACTTGGTGCAATGATCTTCAACCAACACCGAACTGTCGAAAGTACTCGGTGCAATGATCTTCAACCGACACCGAACAGTCGAAAGTACTTGGTGCAATGATCTTCAACCGACAACGAACAGTCGAAAGTACTTGGTGCAATGGTCTTCAACAATGATCTTAGATTTTCGACATTTCGGACCGACACCGTATGGCGTGTGAACCAAATATATAGTTATCTACTTACATATGTGATTGAGTATGATGTTATATAGGACAACAGATGGCCACTTATATATGTGGTAACTTGATGGAAGGACGGAGATACATTGAGATGGCACATTGTGAGTGGACTGACGTGACAGACGGGTAGAAGATGGATGGTGTGATACAGATATATGGATATATGTGCGGATATTGAGATAGCGTGAGCTTGTTGGAGTTAACGCCGCTTTTAAAGTTGACACTGCACAGCAAATTGCGGCGTTTAAGACAACTGAGCCACGGAGTTAACAGAAGAACATAGGGGATGCATTGGTACTTAGCTTGTTTGACGAGCATTGACATATATCATTGATGGGTGATAAATAAACAGGTCTTGAGATAAACAAATATAGAGAGTGAGTTGGAATTAACGCCGCTTTTAACAGTATTCCAGTTATGTCATGGCGTGTCAGCTTGATGTGGGAGGAAAACCCGAAGTGATGCAGGTCGTAGATGTTTATCACTTCGGTAAAACCCAGGAGCACTGGTATGGCGCAGACATAATCGGGGCGAACCGGGATTCGAACCCACAATAATAGGTTTCTGGCGTGCCGAAGGGACGCAAGTTTGCATAGCGAGGGGTGGTCGGGTAGCCTAGTGGTTCGCTCGTCAAGCCGAAGACCCGGGTTCGATTCCCGACATGGGTACAGTGTGTGAAGCCCATTTCTGGTGTCCCCCGCCGTGGTATTGCTGAAATATTGCTAAAAGCGGCGTGAAACCATACTCACTCACTCACTCACTGCACAGCGAATTGCGGCGCCTCAGACGGCTTGGCCCCCCGTTCTCCTTACTCGAATATAGAAACAATACCGAAAATCTTTGTGATTATTGGACACATAGGGGACTGACTATGAAAGGAAGAATAACGTTGAGTTACTAGATATCACATTTTCATCTTTGCTTTCTCTTCCTCCCCAGATGCTGAATCACGCGTAGAGAGGGCTATAGGAGGCCGCCCTGTCTCGCGGGGTTCCACGCCCTGGTTGGTGTTGCTAAGGGCCACCATAGTAACCACGCGGTTCCTGGGAATTCCACTTCAGCATCGTCATATTTTCTGTGGGGGAACAGTTCTCAATGACCGGTGGGTCATCACCGCAGCCCACTGCTTTAAGGAGTACGGGTGAGTGTTTATACACTGACGGGCGATAGAACGTATGCACCCATCTTTGATGGTACCTAAAAATGTAACAAGAAATGGTTATTCGAGGTTGATCTATCTACCCATGTCGGGAATCGAACCCGGGTCTTCGGCGTGACGAGCAAACACTTTAACCACTAGTCTACCCGACCGCCCCGCACACATGTATAATGATATGTGTACATAATAAATGTATAAGTCATCATGAAAATATTTTTTAAAACAATCATAACAAACATGCCTGTGTTAGCCGGGCTTAATGATCAAAGGGAGCCAAGATCTGACACGGGAACAGTCGGGAAACGTTCATCCTTGTAACAACAGTAAACATTCAGTACGATAAGCATGAGGCGGTGAACGCTTATTAGAGAAGTATGATTCATGGTTATATAAACACTACGCACGCACGACGTTGTGGGTTTCAGTTATAACAATATCAAGCATGTCTTCACTGACCTAGGGCATCATAAAATGATGTAACAACAATGTTATTATTACTTCCAAAAGAAGTGGCGGTCGGGTAGCCTAGTGGTTAAAGCGTTCGCTCGTCACGCCGAAGACCCGGGTTCGATTCCCGACATGGGTACAATGTGTGAAGCTCATTTCTGATGTCCCCCGCCGTGATTTTGCTGGAATATTGCTAAAAGCGGCGTAAAACTATACTCACTCACTCACTTCCAAAAGATTAATTATGAAACATTGTAAAATTTACCACGGTAGAAATACAAAACATTTACTATGCCTTTTCGTCCAGCCATTGTGTGACTGCCATAATTGTTCGTCCAATTCTAGACAATGCAGCATATGTTGCTAACATATGATGTGCCAACAAAAGAGGTTTTATGCCATTGCAATTGAGTTAAAATTTAAACATTTATCATGTATACCACTATGATTGTGTCCTCTTATTCCTTGGGGGCGGTCGGGTAGCCTAGTGGTTACAGCGTTCTCTCGTCACGCCGAAGACCCGGGTTCGATTCCCGACATGGGTACAATGTGTGAAGCCCATATCTGGTGTCCCCCGCCGTGATATTGCTGGAATATTGCTAAAAGCGGCGTAAAACCGCACTCACTCACTCACTCACTCTTATTCCTTGAAGACAATACCAAATGTTCCAGGAAGTCATTGTTGTCAAAGCATGTGACGAGTTTTGTTTTCTACTTGTATATTACATATGTATTAAAACACATATGTAACATGTTCTCATTTCTGATTCTGAAGTTGCCACATGCAAATTACAGTGAGTGAGGGAGTTGTGTTTAACGCCGCTTTTAACAGTATTCCAGTCATATCACGGCGTGTCAGCTTAATGTGGGAGGAAAGCCCGAAGTGATGCAGGTCTTAGGCGTTTACCACTTCGGTGAAACCCACGAGCACGGGTATGGCGCTGACAAACTTAGAAACATACTCGGGGCGAACCCACAATCATAGGTTTCTGGTGTGCCCAAGGGACGCAACTCTGCACAGCGACTTGCGGCGCCTCAGACGACTGGGCCACCCGTGCCCCCCATTTTCTAAGGAAAACTTACTTCGCAAATCATAAACACATAAATATTTCTTACCTTGGTACACATGTACTCGAACTCAGGCTTATACTCTAAAGCACAGGAGGGACCGTTACAGAGAATCTCACCGTCGACGCAGGTGCAGGTATGACAACGTCTTTCCCATGTCGTTCCGTTCGTAATGATTTGGATTGCGTCGTAGTCTATTTCATAACAAGAACGCCCCCATGTAGTAACTTTGGATAAATGATATATCCGAAGCGTAAACAATTTTGTATAGATGATATATCCAAAGCCTAAACAATTTTGTATATATTAGCTATTCAAATTTGGATTTTGAATCATAGGTTTCTGGTGTGCCCAAGGGACGCAACTCTGCACAGCGAATTGCGGCGCCTTAGACGACTGGGCCACCCGTCCCCCCCATCCAAATTACAATTTGTTTCACCTTCTGGGTTACACATATGCGCTTTATGACAGTCTAGGTACTTGAATCAATAGGTTGGCATGCTTATAAATTTTGCGCGCCGTGTTGATGCTCTGGATTAAAGTTATCTTTACTGCATGTGTCTCATCTTCCTCAGGGAAGAGAGTTAACTGACTATAAAAAAATCAGTTTCCGCCGCAAGGGTGGGAACTGGACTTTTAAAGTAAGTGAACTCTCTTGCCTTGGGAAGATGAGACACATACTGACAAGATAACTTTGTCTATATCAATGTCTATAATATGAACCAATGAATATTTGTCCAACTGTTCGTTTTTTCATTAAAGATCAAATGCTCGAACACCTCGCAACTGGGAAGTCCGTCTCGCCACAACTAAACTCAGGGTAAGTCTCACTGTAGGTCAGTATGCCTCACTGTAGGTCAATATGTCTCTCTGTAGGTCAATATGTCTCTTTGTAGGTCAATAAGTCTCACTGTAGGTCAGTATGCCTCACTGTAGGCCAATATGACTCACTGTAGGTCAATATGTCTCTTTGTAGGTCAATAAGTCTCACTGTAGGTCAGTATGCCTCACTGTAGGTCAGTATGCCTCACTGTAGGTCAATATGTCTCTCTGTAGGTCAATATGTCTATCTGTAGGTCTGTATGCCTCACTGTAGGTCAATATGTCTCTCTGTAGGTCAATATGTCTCTCTGTAGGTCAATATGTCTCTCTGCAGGTCTGAATGTCTCACTGTAGGCCAATATGTCTCTCTGTAGGTCAATATGTCTCTCTGTAGAACAATATGTCTCTCTGTAGGTCTGTATGCCTCACTGTAGGCCAATATGACTCACTGTAGGTCAATATGTCTCTCTGTAGGTCTGTATGCCTGACTGTAGGCCAATATGTCTCTCTGTAGGTCAATATGTCTCTCTGTAGGTCAATATGTCTCTCTGCAGGTCTGAATGTCTCACTGTAGGCCAATATGTCTCTCTGTAGGTCAATATGTCTCACTGTAGGTCAATATGTCTCTCTGCAGGTCAATATGTCTCACTGTAGGTCAATATGTCTCTCTGTAGGTCAATATGTCTCTCTGTAGGTCAATATGTCTCACTGTAGGTCAATATGTCTCTCTGTAGGTCTGTATGCCTCACTGTAGGTCTCTATGCCTGACTGTAGGCCAATATGTCTCTCTGTAGAACAATATGTCTCTCTGTAGGTCTCTATGCCTGACTGTAGGCAAATATGACTCACTGTAGGTCAATATGTCTCTTTGTAGGTCTGTATGCCTGACTGTAGGCCAATATGTCTCTCTGTAGGTCAATATGTCTCTCTGTAGGTCAATATGTCTCTCTGCAGGTCTGAATGTCTCACTGTAGGTCAATATGTCTCTCTGTAGGTCAATATGTCTCACTGTAGGTCAATATGTCTCTTTGTAGGTCTGTATGCCTGACTGTAGGCCAATATGTCTCTCTGTAGGTCAATATGTCTCTCTGTAGGTCAATATGTCTCTCTGTAGGTCTGTATGCTTCACTGTAGGCCAATATGTCTCTATGTAGGTCAATATGTGTCTCTGTAGGTCTGTATGCCTCACTGTAGGCCAATATGTCTCTCTGTAGGTCAATATGTCTCTCTGTAGGTCTGTATGCCTCACTGTAGGTCAATATGTCTCTTTGTAGGTCTGTATGCCTGACTGTAGGTCAATATGTCTCTCTGTAGGTCTGTATGCCTGACTGTAGGTCAATATGTCTCTCTGCAGGTCTGAATGTCTCACTGTAGGTCAATATGTCTCTCTGTAGGTCAATATGTCTCTCTGTAGGTCAATATGTCTCTCTGTAGGTCAATATGTCTCTCTGTAGGTCTGTATGCCTCACTGTAGGCCAATATGTCTCTCTGTAGGTCAATATGTCTCTCTGTAGGTAAATATGTCTCTGCAGGTCTGTATGCCTCACTGTAGGTCAATATGTCTCTCTGTAGGTCAATATGTCTCTTTGTAGGTCTGTTTGCCTTACTGTAGGCCAATATGTCTCTCTGTAGGTCAATATGTCTCTCTGCAGGTCTGAATGTCTCACTGTAGGCCAATATGTCTCTCTGTAGGTCAATATGTCTCACTGTAGGTCAATATGTCTCTCTGCATGTCTGAATGTCTCACTGTAGGCCAATATGTCTCTCTGTAGGTCAATATGTCTCTCTGTAGGTCAATATGTCTCTCTGCAGGTCTGAATGTCTCACTGTAGGACAATATGTCTCTCTGTAGGTCAATATGTCTCACTGTAGGTCAATATGTCTCTCTGTAGGTCAATATGTCTCTCTGCAGGTCTGAATGTCTCACTGTAGGCCAATATGTCTCTCTGTAGGTCAATATGTCTCTCTGTAGGTCAATATGTCTCTCTGTAGGTCTGTATGCCTCACTGTAGGCTAATATGTCTCTCTGTAGGTCAATATGTCTCTCTGTAGGTCTGTATGCCTGACTGTAGGCCAATATGACTCACTGTAGGTCAGTATGCCTGACTGTAGGCCAATATGTCTCACTGTAGGTCTGTATGCCTGACTGTAGGTCAATATGTCTCTCTGTAGGTCTGTATGCCTGACTGTAGGCCAATATGTCTCTCTGTAGGTCTGTATGCCTGACTGTATGCCAATATGTCTCACTGTAGGTCAATATGTCTCTCTGTAGGTCAATATGTCTCTCTGTAGGTCAATATGGTTCTCTGTAGGTCTGTAGGTCTCACTGCAGATTAATATGTCTCACTGTAGGTCAATATGTCTCTCTGCAGGTCTGAATGTCTCACTGTAGGCCAATATGTCTCACTGCAGGTCAATATGTCTCTCTGTAGGTCTCACTGTAGGTCAATATGTCTCACTGTAGGTCAATATGTCTCACTGTAGGTCAATATGTCTCACTGTAGGTCAAAATGTCTCTATGCAGGTCTGAATGTCTCACTGTAGGTCAATATGTCTCTCTGCAGGTCTGAATGTCTCACTGTAGGTCAATATGTCTCTCTGCAGGTCTGAATGTCTCACTGTAGGCCAATATGTCTCACTGCAGGTCAATATGTCTCACTGCAGGTCAATATGTCTCTCTGTAGGTCAATATCTCACTGTAGCTATGGCTTGGCCCACTGTAGGTCAATATGTCTTATTGACCTTACAGATTTCTTTTATTATTTCATTAAAACCTGCAATATTCTATATGATGTCAATGTATCCGGCCGAGGAAGGGGATCGTGAAACAGGACTGCAAGGGTCATGTATCGTGTGTTTTCTCTGTCAGACATCGCCGGCGGAGCGGCTACTACATCTGCTGGGGCGACTTCTACAACGATCTGAGTGGATGCAGTGGGAGATCGGGGTGGAGAGGATAGTGATCCACCCGCACTATAACGAGTCGAGTAGGTAGTCATCCTGTCACCATTGGCGTCCATCACTTAAGTAGCACACGAAACCTCGCTACCTACTATGTGGCCCCGTCGTTGGTTCTTATCCTTGTTCGACCTGAATGCTTATGTATGTCCACTCCATACCCATCCTCGCTCACTCACTCACTCACTCACTCACTCACTCGCCAAGAACCTACTCGCCCTTCCACTTACTCACTCACTCACTTCTGTTCTCCAGGTATCTGGGCCAATGACATTGCCTTGGTCCGGCTGAGTCGTCCAGTGCCTTCCGGTCCCGAGTTCGGCTACATCAAGAGGGTCAACCTCCCCCGTGCCTTCGACGACAGTTTCCCAGGGGTGGGGCAGCTGTGTGTCACTACCGGGTGGGGGTGCACCAGTAACGGTAAGTCAACCACCATGCAGTTAAACAAATACATTAACTATAAAGAAGCACCACGTTTGAAGAAGAAATTGCACTTTGTATTACCGTGCAGGTGAAAATGAAAAAAGTTAAAATTATATGATATTTTGGAAACGAGAATCTGTAATGGCAAACTACTTGACTTGTGATACCCACTAGGTGGCGGGCCATCTCCTGTAGCACGTGAGATTCAGCTTCCGGTGTACAGTGACTACATGTGCGAACTCCACTACAGTATCCGGGACATGGACAAACGGGTGTGTGCAGGCTACAGGAATGGAGGAGTCGGCGTTTGCTCGGTATGGAGTTCATACTTCAAGCTGTTACGTCGCCAATCTGTTAATGTTTGTTTGTTTGTCTGTTGTTTTACGCCGCACGCAGTTTTCCAGCTCTATTACGGTGGTCTGTAAATAATCACTGGACCAGACAATCCAGTGATTGATATCATGAACATCGAACCACGCAACTGGGATACGATGACATGCATCAACTTAGTCAGCGAGCTTGACCACCCGATCCCTTTAGTCGCCTCTTACGACATGCATAGTCACCTTTTACGGCAAGCATCGGATGCCATATATGTGATCCCCGTGATACTCCGGGTATACACCAACCCATGCTTATCGTAAGAGTCAACTAACGGGATCGGGTGGTCAGGCTCGGTGACTTGGTTGATACATGTCATCGTATCCCAATTGCGTAGATGGGTGCTCATGACGTGGATCACTGGATTGTCTGGTCCAGACTCGATTTCTTTACAACCGCCATGATATAAGTGGAATATTGCTGAGAAAACCCCAGCAATTTTGAGTCAAGGTCTTGTAAGAATATATTTAGACGAATCTACTTTTAGCCGGCCACAATGTTGGGATTTCCTTTATATTCATCCTCGATGAATTCCCACAGGTACTTAATGAGGTACAAAATTCCTGAGATTGAAAGAGAGTATGTTATTATCCTACGGTAATTTCAGACTGTACGTTCGTCAGTTGTTGGCTCGCATTGGTCGAACTGTACACGTAGTGTCTGCCATGTAGCCGTGGATTTCACTACAGTCGTAAACATACTGAGGGTTTCCGATCCCCATAACGCTGACACGCAGGTCTCCAGCAACCCATGCTTGTCGAAAGAGGCGACTGTGCTTGTCGTAAAAGGCGTCTAACGGAATTGGTTAGTCAGGCTCACTGACTTGGTTGATGCATGTCATCGTATCCCAGTTGTATGGATCGATGCTCATGATGTCAATCACTGGGTTGTCTGGTCCAGACTTGATTATTTACAGACAGCCGTCAGCAGGAATATTGCTGACAAACAAACACAAGAACTGTTGAAAGCAACGTTAACCGTGGTCACTCACTCACTCTTGCAGGGGGATAGCGGGAGTCCACTAGTGTGCCGGGAGGACGGTGAAGACGTCATAGCGGGCGTCGTCTCCTTCACCAGCCGTGATCGTCCCGGGGAATTTCCTGCCGTCTTCACACGCGTCACCGACTACGTGACATGGATCCGCAGCGTCATGGGCGTATCATGACGACATCGACGATGGCATGTTCTGTGATACTGCTATACAAGTGTAGATGTATAATGTTAATTAGCGTTATCGGAGCGGACGATGCACGTCAGAATGTATACCCACAAGGCATCAAACTCGAATATAGATTTTCATAAACTCTGATGTAGGTATCAGGACGCACTGGCTCTACTAGTATCTGGTATCTTTGCACGAAGCACATTTTTTAACAGTTATCTGGCGTCAGCTGATCGCGTGTATGATGCACCCTTCATCAGAGGCGGAGCGAGGGTTTTGTAAGGGAGCAGGGGTGGGGATGCACACAACCGAAGTCACACAATTAACAAAATCAAAAGGCCTCACAAATTGACACGGAAGTGTCTTGAAAAGGGGATATGTACGTTCTGCACGCCTTTGGGTCCATGTGATTCACTACTGCCGTGAAATCTACCGTTATCTACAACATATCGGCTTTCCGGACTTCAATCATCTACCGCTATGTAACAGTTAATAAAGGGAGGTAAGCAGGAAGGTTAAGTAATGTTTGAACGATCTCATTCACATTTACTGGGTAAAATTCACAGGAACTCGTTATTGGTCAGTAAATAAAAATATATACCCCCTATATGTAAGTAGAGGGGGTATATATTTTTATTTACTGACCAATAACGAGTTCCTGTGGTAAAATTTGTATCGTAATGTGCGCTTTCTATTTGGATCGGAAAATGATAAATTTATTACTTCGACTGATATCGGATGTAGCTTTATACTAATTCCAGGGGGTACTGATGCTGGCGTTATGATGAGAAACATGATTTTTTTCCTATTGTGTCCAGTGTCTCTGTCCAGGACATATGGCTGAAATGTGGAAGTATATTCACAAAATGCATTCATGTCATAATATGTCACGACTTTAGGTGCACGTATATATGTCGTTGTGCAACATGTTTCATAATACGATTCAAGTCGGATACATGTTTGTAATTAACCCCCACAATGGGAAATATTTCTCATGCTATTTTTTATCTTTATTATCTTGAATAAATATTGTTTTAATTTGAATTTTGATATTTTTAGTCATTTTTTAGTTAATGAATGTCCTTCTACAGGCACATTACCGTTGTTTATTGTTGATTCTCCTTGCGGCAATCTGTCCCAATCTGCTCCAAGGTAAGGTTGGCAGCGTTTGGGCTGGTCGACGTGATGCTTGAGTGAGTGAGTGAGTGAGTGTGTATTAACGCCGATTTGAACAATATTCAGTCGTATCATGGTGTGCCAGATTGATGGGGGACGGGGGGAGGTAAGTGAGTGTTGCAGGTCCACATTTAATTGGGCGGAGTGGGCAGGCGGTCCCTACCGCTTAGGCTAGGCAGGTTGTTATTCAGCCTCTTTACAGTGTTGTCACTACCCCTAGGGTACTAGTGTTCAGTGCATTCACCCTGTGCACTCAAAACAACTCACTAATCCGATGGACTCGTGAAGACCCACGTTGGAATAGGTCTTTAGCAACCCATGCTTGCCGTAAAAGGCGACTTTGCTTGTCGTGAGATGGGATCGGGTGGCCAGGCTCGCTGACTTGGTTGATGCAAGGAACAGGACCGGTGTTGATTCAATGTTCTCATTTATTTCTGTATACTTGCATATATAGGCTACAACGAAATAATAATTATAATAAGGTTACGCCTTTAGCCATACATAAAACTGACTAAAGCGCCTTGAGACTATTCAATAAAGGACTTGAGCGTTACTACGGAGATTGTACGTACGCATCACATAACCCGACACGTGGTTTCTTGTGAACAAAAAACCTGAGTTTTTATCTTACTGGTTTTCCGCAAAATATAGTGTAATGGACACTAAAACAATTCCTAAAGATTTTCTAATAAATAATAAAGTAATAAAATATTTCTAAAGAATTTTTACATTAAAATATGTAAACTTACACAATGGGTAGCAGATGTTTCAAATAAATAAAGCATGATTGTTATAATGAAAACTAAGTTCGGATCCCAGGAGGCGCTCACCGCAAGTGAGGCGCACAGATGCATACCAAATATCCGTTTTTGTAATTTGTTAATTTGTTGTTTAACGCCGCACTCAGCAATATTCCAGCTATATGGCGGCGGTCTGTAAATAATCGAGTCTGGACCCGACTCATGAGCATCGATCCACTCAATTGGGAAAGTCAGCGAGCTTGACCACCCGATACCGTTACGACAAGCATCGTCGACTCTTATGACAAGCATGGGTTGCTTAGACCAATTCCAACCCGGATCTTCACGGGTACGTTATTTGTAGCAGTAAAACTGTCGAGGGCATATGTGTGTTCTGTGGCGGTTTTCTTTTGCTGAGAACGAAAGTCGAATCGTTTAGAAGAACCTAAACTTCTTCTGTTGAGTGGGTGGACACAGGATTCACCTGACGTGACCTTCTATTAGGTCTCATCTTTCCTTGATGCAGAGAGGTATCGTATCGGAGGGAAATAAGTCACTGATAATTGGAAGTTGAGAGACATGCTTAATGACTGAGAACAGAGGGTCGGGGTATGGTCGCGAAATACGGTTGTAAATATATTGTTACCTATATCAATACCTTATCCTGTCGTTAAATCAAAGTCACCAACTCACACCTTTATCCTCACTCGCAGTTGAAAGACACAATGAGAATCTTTGGTGCCCGTACCAGCCTCTGCTGTTATCTCTGGGGGCATATGATCTCCCAGTCTCTCTAAGGAAATGTCCCCGTGAAGATCTGGGATAGAATAGGTCTTCAGCAACCCATGCTTGTCGTAAAAGGCGACTATGCTTGTCGTTAAAGGCGACTACGGGATCGGGTGGTCAGGCTCGCTGACTCAGTTGATGCATGTCATGGATCCCGATGGCGTGGATCGATGCTCATTATGTCAATCACTGGATTATTTACAGACCGTCGCCATATAGCTGGAATATTGCGGCGTTAAACAACAAACCAACTTAGGAAACGGACCTCTCGATACTATCATAAGGTTAACGCATCTTCGGTTGAAACACCGACAGCCTCAGGTGGGTGTATGTGAGTGTGTCGGGGATACCGATTCTTAGTTTGATACAATGAACTGTCAGCTTTCAGCTTCTGGTAGTAACGGGGCAGTCGGGTAGCCTAGTGGTTAAAGCGTTCGCTCGTCACGCCGAAAGCCCGGGTTCGAATCCCGACATGGTTACAATGTGTGAAGCCCATTTCCGGTGTCCCCCGCCGTGATATTGCTGGAATAATGCTAAAAGCGGCGTAAAACCAAACTCACCTTACTTTATTTGTATCTTGCTTATAATATTGATCGACTTAATACACTGCATTTTGCACTTACAGAACAATTCTATAAGAATACACAGCAATTATCTCCCTTTTCCAACATATGCAAAGAAAAACAAATTTGGATATCTAATATACAAAATTGTTTACGCTTCGGATATATCATCTATACAAAATTGTCTACGCTTCGGATGTATTATTTATCCAAAGCACATAATATTATAAGCTTGTATATCTGGACTTTTTTTTGCAGTTAGAGTTCAGTGATCAAAGTTAAATGTAACTTCTCTCCACAAATGGTAATCCATCGTGCATCTGTTACCACGTTGTCAACAACATCTGCATCAGCATCATCTTCTCATATCTTCACGTGATCGATGGACATGTCTGTTCTGCCACCTATCTTGACCAACTGTGTCACTTAACACTCATCAGTTAATTGACAACAACCACGAACGCTTGCATAACTTACCAGATCGATCTCGAGGTCAGATGAAGGTTATATCAGTGGCTCTATCAAGTTGCTATCAAGGTTTCGACAAGGATAATTATGGTATGACATTTTGGCCAATAATTGTGTGACGCTATATGTCCCTCCTATAAGTAGGTGTGCGTGACGCGTGGCAGTATTCTGTAATATGTCGTCCACGTCCACCCTCACCTCCGTCGTGTCTGTAGTGGTTGTCCTTACATCCTTCGTAGCAATACACGGGATGCCCAAAGTTACTACATGGGGGCGTTCTTGTTATGAAATAGACTACGACGCAATCCAAATCATTACGAACGGAACGACATGGGAAAGACGTTGTCATACCTGCACCTGCGTCGACGGTGAGATTCTCTGTAACGGCCCCTCCTGTGCTTTAGAGTATAAGCCTGAGTTCGAATACATGTGCACCAAGGTAAGAAATATTTATGTGTTTATGATTTTCGATGTAAGTTTTCCTTAGAAAATGGGGGGCACGGGTGGCCCAGTCGTCTAAGGCGCCGCGATTGGCTGTGCAGAGTTGCGTTCCTTGGGCACGCCAGAAACCTATCATTGTGGGTTCGAATGCCGGTTCGCCCCGATTATGTTTCTAGGTTTGTCAGCACCATACCCGTGCTCGTGGGTTTCACCGAAGTGGTAAATGTCTGAGACCTGCATCACTTTGGGCTTGCCTCCCACATTAAGCTGACACGCCGCGATATAACTGTAATACTGTTAAAAGCGGCGTTAAACACAACTCACTCACTCACTTAGAAAATGGGTTTCATAAAAATGATAGACGTCTATGGGCTTTTCTCCTACATTAGGGTGACACGCTTATATCACTGTTAAGCGGCGTAAAATCAATCACTCACTCACTCCGTACATTTTGATACTCCTCGGAGTGACAGTAGGCTGTTTTGTTTGTTTGTTTGTTTGTGGTCTAACGCCTCACTAAGCAATACTTCAGCTTTTTGGTGGCGGCCTGTAAATAATCGAGCTCTGGACCCACAATCCAATGATTGAAATCATGAGCCTCAATCATCGCCTTCGGGTTACAATGACACGCAATGAACCAAGTCACCGAGACTGACCCTCCGATCAGTTAAGTCACCTCTTTCATACTACCAGCACAGATTGCTGGGGACCTATTCTCACCTGGAATCCCCACGGCGGTAGTATATACATTGAGAAGCATTTAATCCACGCCAAAAATATAATAATATATATCAAACTGGTTATCAAAATGATGTTGACGTTTAATTAAATGTTTGCCTGCAAGGCTGAAGTGAGTGAGTGAGTGAGTGAGTATGGTTTTACGCCGCTTTTAGCAATATTCCCGCAATATCACGGCGAGGGACACCAGAAATGAGCTTCACACATTGTACCCATGTCGGGAATCGAACCCGGGTCTTCGGCATGACGAGCGAACGCTTTAACCACCAGGCTAACCGACCGCCCCTAAGGCTGAAGTGACAGGACAGGAATATTGTTGAACTGATTTGCAATTCAATCGTTACGAAAATTTGATTGTCTCAAAATACGTTTTGTTGCGGGAACACTTTCATGTCACTGTCCTAAATACATCATTCCTCCTTACAGTGGACTGAGGACGGGTGTTGTTGTGAGCACGTGGGGTGTGTGGTGGACGGGGTGGTCATTGATCTGGAAGCGTGGTACACCCGTCCCGACGACTCTTGTACCCAGTGTAGATGCGGAGTCGGATTTCAGCAGTGTAGGTCGACAGAAAACTGTGTCTCGGGACCTATGAACACATACTGACGGAAATGTCATGTTAATAACAAGCCGACTTATTGATTTGTTTGGTTAGTAACCGAAACATTCCGATCTCTGAAGTTTTTTTCGGGAGAATAAAATATTTAAACATAATGCAAGAGTTAGTTGTGGTGTTTCTTGTAATGTACATGCAAATAGCTGTATTCCCATATCGTTCTATTTTAGAATTTTGTATTTTACTTAGGTTTGTCAACTGACTATAGGTCTCCAGTAACCCATGCTTGACTATGCTTGTTGTAAGTGGCGACTAACGGGATCGGTAGTCAGGCTCGCTGACTTGGTTGGTGCATGTCATTGTATTCCAATTGTGTGGATCGATGCTCATGATGTCAATCACTGGATCGTCTGGTCCCGACACGATTATTTACAGACCGCCGTCATATAGCTAGAATATTGCTGAATGCGGCGTTCAACAACAGCAAAACAAACAAACAGCTGACTCGCTTGGAAGAAGTCTGTCAAAATTATACTTCAATTTTCATTTACGGTCGGTGATCCATGCCGCACGAATTCGATACCACACAATCATTCATGTTGTGTATGTTTGTTGTTTTACGCCGCATCCACCATTATCTCTCGCCAGAGAATAGTCAGTCTCAATTATTTGTGGAGATTTCATAGGACGTAAAAGGCAGAAGAGTGGTGCCCTGAACATCAGTTGTGACACGTGGTGTTGGTGAAAATGGTAAGAATGACCTGCTCTACCGGTAGCACCCGCTACTCACACAATTTGCAAAAAGAATATTAGTGTTTGTTTGTTGCCAGGCGCCGCCTCCAGCAATACTACCATACGACGGGCCTGTAAACAATCGAGTCTGGACAAGACAATCCAGTGATCAGTATCATGAGCAATGATCCACGTCGTTTGGGTACGACGCCACACTGTCAAGTATGGAATACTGTAAGGGACATTCTCGCGACCTCGCATTCTCGCAATCTCGACCGTTGGAATCGAGCTAAATATAAATATGCCAAAAACACGAAAATGCGAGATCGCGAGATTTTGCCAAAATCTCGCGATCTCGCATTCGCGTGTTTTTGGTACATTGTATGTTTTGTCAAAAGTCGACAACGCGAGAATGCGACATTTGGACATGATGTTAAATATCGCAATCTCGCAATCTCGACTTGCCAAATTAGGCCACAAAAACATGAAACACATTTCATTTTCTCGCGATCTCGCGTTTTAGACGCTGTCCGTGCGCATGCGTAATAAGGTCAAGGCGCATGCGCACCTTAGTAGTCCTTTGGTCATGCTTCTTTTATGCTTTTCATTCTCCATTTAGCATTTAGCAAAAACTTATGACTTGAGCTTGAAAATGCTATGTTATTTACACACACAAAGTTCTTTGCTGAGTAGGGTAGAGTCCTCTCCCTTTGGTACAGTTGGCCAAATCTCGCGTTCTCGCGATCTCGCATTCTCGTGTTTTAGGCATATTGAGCTCGTTTTCAAAGGTCGAGATCGCGAGATTGCGAGATTGCGAGAATGTCCCTACAGTATTCCATAGTCAACCAAGTCACTTAACATGACCTCCGATGCATTTAAGTAAAACGCTCACGTTTTGTGTCTCCTGCCCTGTTAATGCTGGAAACATGTTCCAAAGGGCGTACAACCATACTCGCTTACACTAAGCAACAATAGAGGTTTCAACAATTTTGTACACGAGGATGTGGTGATCAGTTGCCAATTACCATTGGCGATCAGCTACCTCATACGTGCATGATATTTGTCGAATTCCTTCACCGCAGAAGGGGGCACGCCGCAATTCGCTGTGCAGAGTTGCGTCCCTTTGGACACGCCTGCAGCCAATGATTGTGGGTTCGAACCCCGGTTCGCCCCGATTATGTTTCTAGGTTTGTCATCACCATACCCGTGCTCGAGGGTTTCACCGAAGTGCATCACTTCGGGCTTTCCTCCCACAATATGCTGACACGCTGTGGTATAAGTGGGGTACTGTTAAAAGTGGCGTTTAACACAACTCACACACACAAACTGCAGAATGTTGTCTATTGCCGCATGCTAACAGATAACGATCGTTCGTAATGTGCATTTCTTCATTTTTAACCGAGAATAGACGATGTATACTTGCAAGTTCTGCCGTCACAAAACACTGCTGTGACTACTGCATGCATAACCTCAAGAGTATATGCTAAAACATCAGCTATCAACTTTTGATCGAGATATTTCTATCATACCATGATACCACAACCTGATTACCTCTAATATGTATGAAATTGATATGAAATACCCTAATATGTTAATAAAGTAACAGTATATATTTCATACATACATGAAAAGTTAAAGGTATTTTTAAGAAAAAGTTGCTTAAATGTTTTGTAACTGGCATTGGTTTATTTGTTCACGTGTCTAGAGGTAGAGCGTCCGCCCGGAGAGCGGAAGGTCCGGGGTTCGATCCCCGGCCGCGTCATACCAAAAGACGTTAAAAGATGGTACTTGTTCTTACCCTGTCTGGCGCTCGGCATTTAGGGGTTAAAATAAGGACTGGTCGGCTCGGAGTCAGTATGCTGTGTCTGAGTGAGATATTCATGATAAACTGCGGCATGGTATCTCAGTGTGCTAGCACTATAAATCGGCATCAGTCCGGACTATAGTACAAGCAGCCACACACACGTACATGCACGTCGCTATATAAGTGCAAATAATCTTGGACGCGACGTTAAACCCCATTTCACCTCACCTTATGTAGAACTAGTGCTATCGAAACATTTCAGACACCTACAGTGGTTTCCACATGACCACTGGGTGGTGTCGATATCGGAACGGCGTATTGTACCGCCGGTTCTGTCAGTTGTGATTTGTTTCATCACGACACCAAGACTCGATACACAGGTGTGTTATTCCACGTCATGCTGTTGCACAAGTCGGACAGGTCACAGTGACACTGGTTCGAGGAGGCAAGGGTGAACTGTACTCTTGTTACAAACACTGTAATAGTTCAACACAGTGTTAAACTTGAAGCAATCCAAGGCCAAAACACTTCTGCTTTTCTTCTCTTGTCTGCTCCAGAGTGAGAGCTTTTCTTCCCTGACTTTGATACACGCTAAGGGCGGGTCGTTAAAAGTACACTTCAAGTGTAGTTATAATTAATGACATTTTCCATTTAATTACGCAATCGCATCGATTCTAAAATATACACACTGCGATAATCAATATAAACGTCAATGCAAGAGAATTAAGGGCAAAATATGTGTGAAAATTATATGAATGGACCACTGAAAATCAGTGATGACACCAAGTGTTCGCGAAAAGGGTAAGCATGTCCTGCCCTACCGTTAGCACCAGCCATAATGATTCAAATATTTTTTTAATATAAAAACTGTATTTTTAACTTGACGCCGCACATCAGAACTCCTGACATGCAACGGCGGCCTGTTAACAACACAGAAAATCAAATGATCTTCGATCCGAAAATACAGCGACTCGGCAGTGAATTTACTGATTTTGCTGAAACTAATAAAAACGATATGTTCATTTTGTGTGTACAAATTTAAGAAATATATATTTTAAAATCTCGGCCCAAGCAGTTTTTTTCCTTTCCAATGATACGTCATTAACGTGTAAAAATAAATTATATGTCAAAACGTACTTAAACAAACTGTAGTGGTTGTGAGAGAGTAGAGCACACCGTATTGTGTTGTCTGAACCACTGCATGCTGATAGGCTTCATGAAGTGAAAACATATCTGACAATATCTTGTTCACAATGCAATGTTTGAAGACACAAAACCAAAGAAACAGACATCTATAGTTCACAAACAGAGAACTCAGTATTAAACACAAACAAACACTGGTTAAGGCACTTCAACGGATAATCACACAATGGCTTGTTTATTATATTTTGTTTAAATTGGGTACATGTTTTCATTTTGTCAAGAAATGTGACTGCTTATTGAATGAACAATATATCATTGTCTTTTCCTTGACAAGACGACAGTGAGCTCTTACACGATGTCCTGGGGATGCCCAGAGAGTATCAATGTCCGTTTTCAGAGTACAACTTTGAGAATATGGGTGTGCAGGTTAGAAGAGACTATCAGTTATTTTCAATGCTTGAAAGCCTAATGTTGGAGACAAGTCTATCCCGCGACCAGGATCCTGTTATGACTAAGGCCCGCAACTCTGTACAAGGAAGTGATACCCTCGGGTAGCCAGACTTATGTCTCCTCGTACCTGGCACACTTGGTTATGATATTCTCCACGTGATATTGGGCGGTGGGATAGCCTAGTGGTTAAAGTGTTCGCGCATCATATTGAAGACCCGTGTTCGATTCCACATGGGTGCAATATGTGAAGCCCATTTTTATGTCGCCCGCCTTGAGTTTCCTAGAATATATCTAAAAGCGGCGTAAAAGCATACTCAGGTACTCACTGCATTGAATACACGGCATAGTCATTTGGCAATAATGAATAATATATAATGATCAATGGTAGTGTCAGATAAAGGAATATGACCATTCAAATTGTTCACAAGAAGAAGAATGCACACACACACACACACACACGCACGCACGCACGCACGCACGCACGCACGCACGCACGCACGCACACACACACACACACACACACACAATTATTGGCTTCAAGTCAATCATTTATTGTTACCTTGATTGTTTTGTTTGTTTGTCTGACTGTTTGTTGTTTTACACCGCACTCAGCAATATTCCAGGTATATGACAGCGGTCTGTAAGGAATCAAATCTGGACCAGGCAATCCTGTGATTGATAACATGAGCATCGATCTACCTAACTGGGATACGATGACATGCATCAACAAGCCAGAGAGTCTGAACACCCGATCCCGTTAGTTGCTTCTCACGACAAGCAATCGCCTCTAACAAGATGGCTGACTGAAGACCGATTCTAATGGGGGAGGAATTGTTACCTAATACAGTGTTCCTAAACTAAGTTCTGTTATTGCGACTAAATGCCCGAATGGCAACAAGAGCTTTGCTATACATTCTGATCAGCGGGTCACTGTACGTGTCCACTAGGAACTTATCGTTGGTAAACCTTTCCGCCATTGCGTCATCCTGCAGCTCTCTGTAAT